CATTTGTATATATGTTGCCATCAAAAACAGCGAATTGTTTTTTTTCTATCATTTTATTGGCGGCTCGTACAACTCATCACAATCCATACATACATCCATTGTGTCAAGCACATTTGTACATTTGTTGCCATCATAATTCTCAAAACATTTGCTTTCTACTTGAGACTTTGGTATCAACTCCTCATTTTTCCCCTCCCTCCTCCCCCCCTCATGAACCATTGATAATTTATAAATTATTATTATTTTGTCATGTCTTACACTGTCCGATGTCTCCCTTCACCCATTTTTCTGTTGTCCGTCCCCCTGGGAGGGGGTTATATGTAAATCCTTGTAATCGGTTCCCCCTTTCTACCCCACCTTCCTTAAAAATAGCAAATTCTTAACGGGGAAACAATAAATCTAGATTTAGCCTCTTTTAACCTCCAGCCTAAAATACAATTGTTCTCTTGTGATATTGTCTTCTTAGGATAAACAATGAAATAAAGTACACTTCAAAGAGCCAAGGCTACCTAAATAGCTGTAAAATATTCCTCTTCATACCCTTGAAACGTCGTCCTAAAGGAAGAGCATTCACAATGTCTTATGTGCTCCTATGAAAGGTAAAAAAGTGCCTTTCTAGAAGACCCTGAAAGCTGCTGTACTAAATAGTTTATCATTTGAGGATCATCCATGGATAAAATTTGGAAAGGTTCTAGGTCCTTTTTAAAAAAAATTAATAAACCTCATTATCTATTTATTCAGTAAATATCTAAGTGGAGCCAGTCCATCACTGTTCAGTTTGTTAAAAGGTCAGAAGCCATCAGCAGCCTGGAAAAGAGATGGGAGGGTAATTTGGTAAGCGCACCTACCACATCGTCCATGTGAAATGTGAGCAAACCCAACCTCTCAGTCTGCCCTGAACTCTGTGCCGCCAGCTGCTCAAATTCAACCAGCAGCACTATTATTCCTTAATGTTTTTGAAAGAATAAGGAAAAGGTAATATTGGATTAAATTGGAACTAGAGATGCATTCTGACCATATTAGTCATCTAAATTTAGCTATCTAAATAGATTACAGGGGTAGGGTTTTTTGTTTGTTTTTTTTTCTGTGAACATTAGGATGTAGAAGTCCTGGGCTACATTTCCATCTCTAAACTATTCTCACTTTAGAAACAATGCCTAAAAAAAAAGAAAGAAACAATAACTCTGTCTTTTAGGCTCTGCAACTCTTATTTCCACAAGATGTTGAGCTACGAGCTGTGATAGGAAATCACAATGGCAACCAATGAGGTCGTGCTGAAGCAGTACATGCTGCGGCTTATTTGCATTGACTTGGGGAGATTCCCATGTGTCTGCTAAGGAAATTCTAAAATTTAAGCCCAGTCTTTGTGATTGACAGTGAAAGTGGTCTAGATCTTACTCAGAAAAGCTTTAAATTTAGAAGCTGGGACAACTGTGGTTAATCTGGACTTTTGGGAATATTCTCTCTAAATTCTGTGATTCTGACTTAAAAAAAAAGAAAGCAAAACTCCTTTGGAGATCTTTTTGCCCTACAGAAATGTTGCTATAAGATGTGTGCTTTATGCTCTGAATGGCAACTTTAATGAAAAGAAATAGCTCTTGGTTTGGTTTAGAATGGAAATACTGTACATCTTTGAGATAATAGTTGCTATTTTTAGCCATGCTTTAAAAGAGATGAGAAACAGCAATGCTTCCGGGCTTTTTCACTTGAGACATTAGGAGTACACGCTCTTTCAACCTCCAGTTAGGGACTGGTTACTCCAGATAAGTTTTTGAAATTACTTCCGAAGATGTCTTAGAGCATACATTTGTAATAATGAGTAACTAGCTCCACACTAGTTTTAAAGTCTCATTGGCTCCATTGTAAAAATAAACATGATCGTTTAATTAACAACAACAACAACAATAACAAATAGATTCTCCATGGTAAAACTGAGGAATAAAAGCACATTCCTAGTCCTGGGTTGCAAAAGTATTTATTAATTCAAAGCAGCTGGATGCCAGGACGTCTAGAGAAGATGGTCCTCTCTTTCTTCTGCTGTGGTCTCACAAGAGCTGGTGTAAGATGATACGTTGCTGCGTTTCTGTGTTTCTTCTACTGAGTGAAACAGGGAGACTGGCCATTGGAAAAATAGGTGTTTGCAATCGAATGCCCAGGCTTTCGAATTAAAAAAAAACAACTCTCAGATATATATATTTTTTTAACATAAAAGGTGGATTCTGTTCATCTAAAAAGAGCCCTGGTAGTGTAGTGAGCTACACATTGCATTGCTAATCACAAGGTTAGTGCTTTGACTCTCGTGAAATTAAAAAGTCTCAGAAACTCAAGAAAACAATTGAATTAAAGGACAGTTCTATCGTTGTCCTGTAGGGTCACTATAACTGTGATTTGGGTTTAACTCATTTAAGGCAGTGGTTCTCAACCTTCCTAATACCACGACCCTTTACAGTTCCTCATATTGTGCTGACCCCCCAACCATAAAATTATTTTTGTTGCTACTTCATAACTGTCGTTTTGCTACTGCTATGAATTGGGGGACCCCTGTGAAAGGGTCTTTTGACCCCCAAAGGGGTTGCGGCCCACAGGTTGAGAACCACTGATCTGAGGTATATTCATCTGGTTTATTTTCCTCAACTCTGCTTACCTTCTTGTTGGACTTTATACTGGTTACTCCTTATTTCAACTTCTATCACCAATCTACCTATTGGTCCTAGTTATGTGTCTAAATTAGTGTATTATGAAACTCTCTTATGAGTTAATCTCTTACAGAAGCAATTATAGAACTAAATCTGAAATATTATTAGTCTGGGGTGCTGGGGAAGAATCTTGGTGCTGGAGTAGATTAAGGTTTGGGTTGCTAACTGCAAGGTCAGCAGTTCAAACCTACCAGCCCTCTGCAAGAGAAAGTTGAGGCTTTCTGCTTCAGTAAAGATTTACAGTCTGGGAACCTAAAGAAGCCCCTCTGCTCTGCGCTATGGGGCTATTATGAGTTGGAATCGTGGCAATGATGGTGGATTGTGGGGGGAGAGGACGGGGTGGGGTGGGGAGCTACTTCCATCGGAACAGTGTTGGGCCACCTTGGCTCAGTGCCCACCCCACCCCCGCCCACCCCCCAGCTCTGGTTAGTAACACTTGGTTGGTCTGAGTGGGTTTATTGTCAGGAAGCTTTTATCTACTCCATGTGTCTTGTCCACAGAACTATGACATCCACTCATATAAAACCATCTATCAAAAATACATCAGGGAATTTCTTTATCTCATTACTTGTTACTGCTCTTTACCAAGGAGAAGAAGAAACTATAGGACTTTGAATGAGAGCTAGTCTTAGGTATCTTCTTATTTTGTTTTGTTGTTCACACATAACGAAGTGATAACTAATGAAACTAGGCGTTGAAAGAGTTAAGAGGATTTCTACATTGGATGAATTAGGGTAACAGATGGAATTCATGTAGGTGGGAAAGCTATTTAAACAGTGGAGGGCCTCTGTATATTGGAAAAGGATGGATTTTTGAGGCTAGTGGGAGGGTTTGGGGTTTAACATTTGGGGCATTGAAAATGCATTTACGAGTGGACACAGTAAGAAGAGGAAGCCAAAACATATGGTCAGGAAGGGAGTTAACAGGTCAACAAAGAGGAAGGCTGGGGCAGCTGAAAGAAACAGAGTAGATGAGAAGTGAATAAAATGATATGGAGATACATCCAAACAACAAGGAACTTGTGTTGGGAGCACTGCTGTTGTGCCTTCATTTGGGAAGTGTCCTTGTATGAATAGGGAAGCAACCAAAGGAAGCAGCGAGGATGCATTGCCACCTGTGCTTTCACCAGAATGCACATGAGTGAGAGTGGCCAGGAAGTGAGCATCAGGGTAAGCCTTCGCCTCAGAGAGGCAGGAAACCAAAAGAGAACCTTGAGACGCGAGATACTAAATGTGACTAAGTTATCAGCCAGAAGGTGGGACAGACGCCTTCCTCCACACTTTTGTTTTTCACATGAGAACATTTTAGTCTACTTTCTTGCAATCTTCTTTTTGATATTCTATTATTCATTCTTCATTTTCAATGGCATCCCCATTCAGTTTAAAAAAAGACAACCCAAAACAAGCAAAGAGAAAATTTCCTTGGTTGCATTGGAACAAGGCCCTTTTCCTGTTGTGTTTTTGGCTCAAGATAGTTAAGTTTCCAAGTCATATTGTCATCTGGCAGGCCCAATGTCAACCTCAGATTATGTTAGTGATTTATGCAATGATATTCATCAATGCACCTCCAGAGTGCTGGATAAATCCAATGTGACAACCCTTACACTTGTGGATGGTTTGAGAGCTTTTGTATGAGCTTTAAAATAGAATCTGAAGCTTGTCAGCATGTGGTCTCTTTCTTTTAGGTATGTGATTCATCAAAATATTCATTAGAAGAGAAGCAAGTGTACACATTTTTATTAGTGGAGTAAGGAGAAAAGTCATGCGGTGAGATATAAAATATAGAAGGCACGATGCAGAGATTTTTTTCCTTAGGTTCTATTTAGATGAATGGTTCATATAGTTTGAGAACTGAGTGTGCAAGAAAATGATGGGCTCCTCTCTCCCCTCCAAAAAGAACTGTGAGCAGCGGTTCCCAGAAGGGTCTTCCAGGTAGCATAAATAAGTACCTTTGGCCAAATGAAGTACAATGGGGAATGGTGGTGACACGTGGTCAGGCTAGAAAGTGCATGCCGTGTTAAGAACAGAGAATGGTGTAGTTTATGACAAACTAGAATGCTCATTCCTAACCTAAATTCAAATTCTAAACCATCCGGGGGGGTTTTGGTTTTTAATAAAGCATCTGTTAAATCTAACTCCTTTCTAAATAGAGTTGCTCTGAGTCCAAATCGACTTGATAGCAGTGAGTTTGGTTTTTGAGCTCCCTACACGCACCCCACCCCCACCCCCAAGTTTTGCCATTCCTCTGCCCAAGCTTTTGAAAATTATGTGTAAACCAGGGAGTGTTTTCCTCTCTTGTCCTCAGGCTCGACAGCAGGCTCAAATACGTCACCAAATGGCAGAAGACAGCAAAGCTGATTACTCGTCAATTCTCCAGAAGTTCAACCAAGAACAGCATGAGTATTACCACACACATATACCCAGCATCTTTCAGGTAAGGAATTCCGTGTGTGCATTTGCTTAGAAAGGTGTTGCTCTTAGGCCACGTTGCTGAGTTTGCAGTCTGTTTCTGGACCTCTGAATTTCCACTAACTGATGTCATTTTGTAACACTCAGATCCAGTGCTCACTTGCCAGAGGATGAAACGTAGTATTAATGTTCTCAGGATTAATCACAGCCTCTGCAGATTTCCAAATGTATGAAGAGAACCCTGTGGCTTCCTCCTGGGATCATTCTTTACTAGTTTCAGAACTGATTCTTGAGTTAATACCCTATTTTCCTAAAAGGACCATACGCATTACAAAAATGCAAACTTCACTGGAGGAATTAAAGGGGTATTCATTAAGCTCTAGGATTTCAACAACTCTCAGACAGATCTTTCCTCTTGCTTGTCGTTGTTTACAGGGATATGCTTTCGATTGTCAGAAATAGCATGAGAAAGATCAATATTCTCCCACTTAAGAATCTTCGCCAGTGTAGAGTGCAGCTAAGCACACAGATGGTAGATATTTTCTTTTTTTTTGTTTTCTTTTTTTTTTTTTTAACATTTTATTAGGGGCTCATACAACTGTTATCCCAATCCATACACACATCAATTGTGTAAAGCGCATTTGTACATCGTTTCTCAAAACATTTTCTCTCCATTTAAACCCCCGACATTAGGTCCTCGTTTTTCCCCTCCCTCCCTGCTCCCCCCTCCCGCATGAGCCCTTGATAGTTTATAAATGGGTATTTTGTCATATCTTGCCCTGTCCGACTTCTCCCTTCATCCACTTTTCGGTTGTCCGTCCCCCAGGGAGGAGGCCACACACAGTGGTAGATATTTTCTTCATCAGTCTGTATACACACTAGCAAATAAGAACTCCCAGAGATAGCATCTGGCTGAATAGACTCAAAGAGACATGGTAGGTGAGGCTGGCAGGAAATGGGGAGCTAACAGCCATGGTACAAGGAAGGAGACATGCCCTAGAATTAATTGTGGGGATGGTTGCGCAACTCTTAGGAATGGAAATGAATTATTGAAATGTATGATATGTGAATTGTATGTTGGTGAAACTGTTATAAGTAGATAAACTAAATTTTTTTAAAGTCTTCCGAAAAGTGTATTCCCAAGCCATTGTTAGGTTGGGTTGAGCTAGCTAGCTAATCAGGCTTTTGGTAAAGAACAAATATCAAAGATAGAAAATATTTGAAATGTTTTGTCGATTAATCAAGTGTTAATAATAAGGCTAGCTGAGCGTGAGGCCTTTACTGACATTGAGATGGACATGTGTGTACATTTCGGACAGCGTGGCGATTCATAGATTAGGTCTACAACTGATCGGTGTCAAAGTCCAATAGCTTTACTGTTGTTCTGGCTTTCACTCCATTGTGCTGCTTCGTTTCCCTGCTGGAAACTCGTTAGAGTATCAGTGCTATCAGAAACCACCTCCTTTAAATGATAATGAGCTCGGTTATATTCTCTACTTAATCTAATGTTGCAGAAAATACAAGAGATGGAGGAAAGAAGGATAGTGCGAATCGGAGAATCAATGAAGACTTATGCAGAGGTTGATCGGCAGGTGATACCGATTATCGGCAAATGCTTGGATGGAATTGTAAAGGCAGCTGAATCGATTGATCAGAAAAACGTAAGTATTGCATCTAGGGCTTAATTTTACAACTAAATGTTTGTGTCTCCTTTCTTCAAACTGAATAAGTACCTTCCTGACAATTACAGATGTGCTTTAGACTTATCAAGGTCTTCTCCCTGCTCCCTCCCTCTTTCACCAGGTCCTCATTCAACCATCACATGGGAGGTAGTGACTTGTAGTGGTCACCACAAGTACTTTTCATCAGTAGCAACACCACTGAGAGTTCTTTTATTGGGTCTTCTGTGTTTTTTGATTAACTCTAACTTCCTACATAAGAACAAATTTTTAGTGGTAAGTTTTCTAAGACAGAGAGGAGCTCTGGCGGTGTAGTGGTTATGGGTTGGGCTGCCATCCGCTTGGTCAACAGTTCAAAACCACCAGCAGCTCCTCAAGAGAAAGACTGGGCTTTCTACTCCCTTAAAAATTTATTCTCAGAAACCCACAGAGTCGCAGTGAATTTGCATTGACTTGATGGCAGTGCGTTTGGTTTCTGAGACAGTGCAGATTTAAATTGGCATGTTGTTTTTTTTTTAAATCAGTTCGCTGAATGCCCCATCACCCAATCCCTCCCACTTACAGTCTGATTCAGTGTTTCCTTTAGGACAGCAGTTCTCAACCTGTGGGTCGCGACCTCTTTGGTGGTCGAACAACCCTTTCATAACCCTGTTATGGGTCGCCCGATCCATAACAGTAGCAAAATCACAGTTATGAAGTAGCAACGAAAATAATTTTACGGTTGGGTGGTCACCACAACATGAGGAACTGTACTAAAGGGTCGCGACCCTAGGAAGGCTGAGAACTACTGCTTTAGGGTCTCTTGACATTTTGGGTCAGGTAACTGGAGGGCATGTTGTCCTGTGCTTCATTAGGATGATTGACAGGACCACTGGCCCCAACTCACTTGATGCCACTAGCAGTCCTAAGTTGCGTCACAGAGATGTGTGCAAGCATTGACAACTGTCTCCTGGAAAGTAAAATGATCTCTGAATGAGCACCATGGCTCTAGGGTCAACACCATTAGTTTGGATATGTTTCCTAGAAATGTATTTCTCGCAGCAAAAATACCAACTCGACCACCAACCTTGGCTCTTACAAACATCAATTCATTTCCAAAATCAAATAATTTTTCACATAAAAATTAGGCCATAAGTATTCTCTGTCCCCAGGGCTTCTTCAAACGTAACCCCAGGGAAAGGATCAAAGCCATGTTTTGCCAGGACCAGATCACCGGTTAGCAGACAGATTCTTCAACGCTCTCAGAACATTTGATACGTATTGAAATGTAGGGTCACCCCTGTAAAAGGTTTACACCTGCTTGAGTGCTTCCCAGTGTGAAATGGTAAATATTTGTAGGAAGGCTAGTTCCCAGGTCACAGGATTGTTTTTAGAGTTCTTTGCTTACTACTTTACAAAGTTGCTTCAAAAAGGCTGTGGGAAAGCTCCATTATTTTTAGTTCCATTTCTCCATGAATTTTTTGAAGCCCCTTCATATTTGTCTAGGACACCTTTCTTCATGGTTTCAACTAACTTTTGAGAAACATTTTTTCATGCTTCTGAACTGGTCCATCCCCCTGAACTTTGATATATCAACCAAATTTCTTTTACAATGCTCAAGCTCTTCTCCTTTTAAGAATAAAACTTTTATGGTTATAGAGATGAAACTTTATATCGCAGATCATCAGTTTGACATTCGATTTCTACGCATTGTGTTTCAATTCATCGATCTCAGACCTTTCAATATGCCATTGCTTAGCCCACTTCTTCCCAGTGCTCCCTGTTTCCATTCCTCTTTCTGTCCTGGGGTGAATGCTGCCCTTTTGATCTTAAAGGGCTGATTCTTCTTTTTTTTTTTTTTTAATCATTTTAATGGGGGCTGGTACAACTCATCACAATCCATGCATACATCCATTGTGTCAAGCACATTTGTACATTTGTTGCCATCATCACTCTCAAAACATTTGCTTTCTACTTGAGCCCTTGGTATCAGCTCCTCGTTTTTTCCTCTCCCTCCCTGCTCCCCGCTCCCTCATGAACCCTTGATAATTTATAAATTATTCTTATTTTGTCATATCTTACACTGTCCAATGTCTCCCTTCACCCAATTTTCTGTTGTCCATCCTCCAGGGAGGAGGTTATATGTAGATCCTTGTCATCGCTTCCCCCTTTCCACCCCACCCTCCCTCCGCCCTCCCGGTATCACCACTCTCACCACTGGTCCTGAAGGGATCATCTTTCCTAGATTCCCTGTGTTTCCAGTTCCTATCTGAACCAGTGTATATCCTCTGGTCTAGCCAGATTTGTAAGGTAGAATTGGGATCATTATAGTGGGTGGGGAGGAAGTACTTAGGAACTAGAGGAACGTTGTATGTTTCATCATTGCTACCCTGCACCCTGACTGGCTCGTCTCCTCCCTACGACCCTTCTGTAAGGGGATATCCAGTTTCCTACAGATGGGTCTTGGGTCCCCAATATGCACTCCCCCTCATTCACAATGATAGGATTTTTGGTTCTTTGATGCCTGATAATGGCGATTATTCTAACATGGAAGTGAATACAGTTCCAGCAGTCTCTATCTGACCAGGAAGTCTGGTCTTTGTTATGATTCTGAATTTTGTTCCACATTTTTCTCCCACTCTATCAAAGACCTTCCAATGTAATCCTTCTCAGATTAGTTGGTAGTGGAAGCCGAACACCATCTAGTTCTGGTCTCGGGGGTGTGGAGAGTGATTTTTACACCGTTCATTAGTCCATTTACTAATTTTACCTCATTTCTTTTGATTTTCATTACTCTTCTTCCATCCCAACAGGGAGCTATCAGTAGTTACACATTGGATGGCTGCTTTTGAACTTTCACCTGTTGCGACTCACCAAAGTAGGATGTAGGATATTGTCTTTGTGAACTAGGTTATGCCAATTGATTGTAAATGGCTGCTAAGTCTAACACAGAAGTGAATTCCGTTCTAAACCCAAAGGGTGACTAAAAGGCCTAGTCTTGGGGTCCCACCAGTCTCTCTCTGATCAATAAGTGTGGTCTCTTATATAAATTTGAACTCTGTTCCACATTTTCTCCTATTCTCTCCAGGACCTTCTAAATTGATCCTTTTCAGAGTAATGGGTAGTGGTAGCCAGACACCAGCTAAGGCAGTGATTTTCAACCTGTGGGTCGCGACGCCTTTGGGCATCAAACGACCCTTTCACAGGGTTCGCCCAATTCAGAACAGTAGCAAAATGACAGTTAAGAAGTAGCAATGAAAATAATATTATGGTTGGGGTCACCACAACATGAGGAACTATATTAAAGGGTCATGGCATTAGGAAGGTTAAGAACCACTGATCTAGGTTCTTCTGGTCTCAGATTTGTGGAGACTGATGTTTGTATGGACCATTAGCTCATTGAACTAATTATTTCCATTTGTTTATATTCACCACTCTTCTATCTTCCAGATGGGGAGAGACCAATATTTGTACCTTGGATGGCTGCTTATGAGATTTTAAGATCCCAGTTGCCACTCAACCAGACACTGTTCTTGTGAACTCTGCTATGCTGATTGACTTGGGGGTTCCTCGAGACTATGGTCCCGAGCCCCCAGGTCCAACAGTTAGTTCCCTCCAAGTGTTTGATTACGTCTAACAGGTTTTCATAACATTGTCTCCTCTTTGTTCTGCCACATTCATGAATATGTTTGCAGTAAAGCAGATGTCCTGTCCAGTCTATGTATTTGTGGCTATGTTAGCTTGGATAAATGGAAAGCAATATACGATAAGAAGGAGGGTGGGCAAAAAAATGATGGCATTAGGGGAAGACACTGAGAAGTTTCAGAGGTTAAAGATAAGAGACACGCTTGTGACTTTTATTCTTTTTTCTGATGACCCAGGGTAACTATCAAAGAATGTGTCTTGTAATGTGAACCTTTTCTTGACTTTTGATAATAGTAGTCTCACATGCTCTGTCTTTTTGCTTTTGTTTATAGTTTAAAGAGGAAATTTATTAAATCTTCAACAGGATAAGGACAAGATAAAGACACACCATTCAGATGAGGGAGACACTTTTCTAGACCTGAAAATTTCTTTATTTGATGATTTTCTGTTATTTTTAGGTACCTCAGGAGAAATTTCCATTAGCCTTCACATTAAGGAGCCCTGTTGGCATATTGGGTTATGCATGTGGACTGCTCACCGAAAGGTCAGCAGTTCAAAACCACTAGCTGTTCTGCAGGAGAAAGATGAGGCTTTCTATCGAAAGCTCATAGAGTCATAGTCTCGGAAACCCGCAGGGGCAGTTCTCCTCCGGCCTGTTGGGTTGCGATGAGTCAGCATCAGTGGATGGCAGTGAGATGTTTTGAGTCTTCACATTCCATTTTCTTATCACTGTTGGTTAGTCGGTTCTGTGCATCTTTGGTCAGTGTTTTTGGATGTTATAAATGCCTGGATCATAGTTGGAAATCAAGAAATTGTTTCAGGAGGCTTTCCTTGATCGCCCTATTTTAAAAGCCAAGTGGGCATAAATAAAGACTGTGGTGGCCTTTAAAGAGAAGTAGTAATAATGGTTCAGGTCAAAATTCAGGTCACCTGTATGTGAACATTGACTTTTCTTTTAGCTTTGTTGACTTCTAGCTTTAATAAAAATCTGAAGCGAGATTGATTTCATTTTCTCATATTAGAAGCTAAGAGCCCTGGCCGTATACTGGGTTACTCGTTGTCCTACAAACCACAAGGTCAGCAGTTTGAAACCACCAACCACTTGGAGGGAGAAAGATGAGGCTTTCTGCTCCTGTACAGATTTTGTCTCGGAAAACCCCACAGAGGCAGTTCTCTATCCTATAGGGCCACTATGTAATGGAATCAATTCCATGACAGGGAGACAGTAAAAGCTCAAAATATCTTTTTGCTTGAACATTCATGATTTCATAAGATTATCCTTTAATGATGGTTTTGTGCTATCAGTTTTATCTGGGAAATTGTAAACCCTTAGACTTATAGTTTGTTTCTTCTCATTA